TGAATACTGCCCCGTCCTCCGTGAATTGGGATGAGTGAAGTACAGGTAAATAGGTTTCCGGAATTTTCATGCTAGGCATCCTTTCAAGTTTTATTTTTGTTTTAAAATTTGATTTCTTTAGAAAAATTACATAAAGTTCTTAAACCTAAATTAAGTGAGTGTCAATTTTAAAACAATGCCAGAAGTGTGCGATAGTTTCATTTGTGGACAACAGTAGTGTCTCTGTAGAGCCTCCACACCAGCGGTCTCAGAAACTGCATCAAAGCCGTTTATCTTCTTCCTTCGGCTTATTGGAAAATACTGAAAAAGTAAATGACGACTAAAGAAAGCAGGGCCTCCCATGTGGAGGTCGGGCTGTAGCTGCTGTTAGGTGCGGTGGATCGGTTCCGGCCCGGAGCTGCCCTGCGCACCACAGCCGGAGAGACGGTGCTGCCGGCTAGGCTCGAGCACATTGTTGCAGCCGCCGGGCCCATCCATGTCCTTGAGAGGCGTGACCCCTTGTTGGCTGACCCTTTACTCATCCCTTATCCAAGCACGACCTCCTGCCTCCTCCAGGGTCCGGGCACTCCCGACAGCACGTCTGAAGTATGGGAGGCAAAGTCTAAGCCATCCTTGCTTCTGAGGAGCTTTCTGGCTTGTAATACTTCTTTCTGGCTGTAATAATTCTACCAACCCTCTGGCCTCAGCCTCACTGGTAACAGTTGGGTACTTAGTCTGTTCACTTCTAAAGTACTGCTGTTAAAGCACTGAAGAGATAAACCGTTCACGGGCTTTTATGAGAGCAACTTTGCTTCATCCTTGATCAGGTTTTGTTCTTCTTCGATCCCCGAACGGGAGCAGAGCAGACATGATATAGCAGAAAGTGAAAGTTTCTCGGCACCTTTCTTGGGGTAACTAGTGTAAAATTCGTGGTGTCTTTCTTCAGGAGAAGGCTGAACTTTTTGTTAGCCGTGTACCTTTTTTCCCCCTTTTGTAAAAGTTGGACCATACTTTCCTTTCTGCCGTTTGTAGTTTTCTGTCACCAACATGTGTTTCCACAGGATGGCTGTTCTTCCTTGTCACTCTATGTAGGTCTGTCTCAGGTTGCTCATGACTGTCCAGTATTTCACAGATAGGTCAGCTGTAGTTTTAATAGCTGTTTGCCCTTCCTGGTGGCACATTGGTTAAGTGCTCGGATGCTAAATGAAAGGTTGACAGCTCCTATAAAGATTACTCACAGCCGTTGAAGGGAGGCCAGCTCATAGCAACCCCAGAGGACAGGGTAGACCTGCCCCTGTGAGTTTAGGACACTGTAATTCTTCATGGGGGGAGAAAGCCCTGTCTTTTTCCCTCTAAACTGCTGGTGGTTTCGAACTGTTAAACTTGAAGTTAGCAGCCCGACATGTGACCACTCTGCCACCAGGGCCCCTCCCTGTGAAGATGACAGTGGAGGAACCCCAGTTGCCCTCGGTCAGATAGAAATCATCTCGAGGACACTCAGCAGCAGCAAGGAGCACTACTAGAAAATACGATTCCACCCAACGGCCCCAGTGCTGCTCAAAGTAGACAAGGAAGGTTTCTGTAGAAGGAGGTCTGGACAGGCCATTGCTTGCTGGGACGGACTGCAGATGCTGTATTGTGATGCAAAGGCCACTTTTCCTCTGAGGCTTTGAATAGTGTCTGCCCCTGAAGAGTGAAGTTTGTTTGAGAATCAGCTGCTTAAAAGGAGAGATGATTTCCTGGCCGGGACCCTGGGAAACAGCTCTTAGAGGGGCTTCCTTGTTGGTGGGGGGTTTTGCCCATGTTTTAACCTGGATTTTATTTGCCATATGAACCCTTTGAGAGAAAGGCTCATTCAGTCTGCCCATTGCTTTAACAAAACAAAACAAAACAACAAAAAAAACCAAGCCTATGGTTCTAGAGTGGCCCCCCTGTAATAATGCTAGTTTGCCTCATGATGTACCGTACGTTTTAAATTGAACTCTGTTCCGTCCTGTGTGGCATAGAATTCGAGCTAGTCTGAATGACCATTGATCTTAAAAGAAATGCATCAGGTTGCTCTCCTCAGTGGAAAAGGACACTCCAATTTGTCACTTGGTCGCATGGTCGTAGTTCTCCTTTTGCCTTGAACCCCAGTTAAATTTTGCCTGGTGAAATAGAAGCAGGCTTATAGGTGACCTACAATCATGTTTTCATTTCCTAATCTCCCCATGGGCGTCGAGTTTGTACTGAGTCATAGCCCCACGGAGGGCCGAGGAGACCCGCTCCACAGGGTTGCGAGGCTTCACATTTCTGGGGGAGCAGACTGCCTCGTCGTTCTCCTGTGGGGCAGCTGGTGCTTTTGAACCTTTTGTGGCTAGCAGCCCAGCCCTTGACCCACTCTGCCACCAGAGCGGTGTTTTCTGAAGGAAGTCAGCTCAGGTTTTAAGATTTAATTTTAAGTCATAGGGGTGCGGGACGGGGTGGGCATCTGAAGTCATTTGTGCCACACTAAGTAAGTGTTTAGGACCTTGAAAGTTACTGTCCCTGCCCACCTCCTGTTCTTCTTACTGGTGTCTAGTTCCGTGTACTCTGGCTTTTTCCACAAACCAAGCCAGCTGCCACCTCAGCTCTGACTCCTGGAGGACAGAAGCAGGGCTTCCAAGGATGAGATCCGTATGGAAGCAGAGTTGTTCTCCTGTGGAGGGACTGTGGGTTCGAACAGCTGAACGTTTGGTTAGCGACTGAATGCTTAACCACTGTGCCACCAGGGTTTCTTTTGTCACATACAGATGCACCAAATTGCAATTTAAGAAGTATCTTACAGAGTTTATATTCACATTTAAAGGGCTAGTGGACTCACAGTCTTTATTACTCTGGAAATTTTTTTTGTTTTTTGAGTGAGTACCCCAACATTTAATTCATGGATACACATACTACTTGCTTATGAACTATCTTGTTATCTCACTGTATTAGTCTAGGTACTTTGGAGAAACAAATCCACAGCGACTCATGTATAAGAGAGAGTTTTATGTAAAGAAAATGTGCATCACGAAAACATCCCAACCCAATGCTGCCCAAGCCCACAAGTCCAACATTAACCCATTAACCCAACACCAGTCCACAAAGTCCTCCACCTCACAAAACAGAGGCAATGATGCCAACTGCAGGAGGAAAGCTGAGTCCGTGAACGTGCAAGCATCTCGGCACTGGCAAGGGTCTCCACACGGCTGCTCCAGCACCCAGGGCTGCATCGGGATAGATCCATGCGGCTTCTCCTTGGGGATGTCTTGTAGGAAGTCAATCTTGCAAGCTGAAGCAGGGAACTGCTAAGGCAGCTGCACCCGATGCAACCATCACAAAACAAGAGACCCGAGAACTAGAAAGGCGAGGCTTCACCACCCATTTATCCCTCCGCCTTTCAACCAGCACCACATGTGATTATCGGCCAGGCTGGCACAATTAACTAACTCACTCACATTTTGTGTTTTTGATAATAGTAAAAAACTATTTTGCTCGTTAGCAAAAGACATCTGGGAATTACAAATACCATGGTCCAAGATATGAGTGCTACTGGCTGTGATGGTTAAAGTTGTATGTCAGCTTGACTGGGCCGTTGTTCTTAGTGGTTTGACAGTTATGGAATGATATAACTTGACAATTATGCAGTGGTGTTGCCTCCTCCATTCTGTGATCTGATGTGATCATCTTCCATTTTCCTGCAATCCTGATTTTCACATAAGGACCTAGCCATGTCAATAAGTGAGGAATGGGTTTATATAGAGAGCTTGAAAGAGGATTATTTGTTCTTATGGTAGAATTTTGAGGAACAATCTATTTAGTCTTTCAGGAAGTGACACTGTATCCTAAAATTTTATAACCTTTTATGTCTGATTAGCTAATGTTTGTCTGTGAATCTTTGAGAGTAACTTATTTTAAAGATTTCTTTTTCTACTTTTTACAGAAAACAAGCATCACTATGGGTCCAAGGAGACATTTTCCGGTCCAAACTTAAAAATAGAACATCCAGTGAAGGAACTATTAATAAGATTCTTTCTAGCTTGGATGACATGTCTATTGGCGGAAACATATCAAAAATACAAAACATGGAACGATTTGGAGAGGTGAGTTTCTACCAGGAAGATTTTCCTATCTTCTGAAACCGATAATCTACATTTCTTTCCCACTGCTTCCCAAAGGGAAAAATTAAGAGGGGGACTTCCAAATGTTTGTGAAAAAAGGAAATTAGAAGATAATGGGTTTTTCCCCATGACCCTTTTGAAGCCCCCTCATATAATATAACACTATCTATTTTCTGAAGTTCTGAGAGTTTTTAGGTGTGGAATTATCCACCTCTCAAAGGAGAATCAGAGCAAAGCAAGCAATTACCTTTAGAAAGGAGCAGCTCTCCTGTAAGGAGTACAATTACGAAAGAGGCTATTTCTGGGCTGGAGATTATGTACAGAAAGGAAGTAGAAAAGCAAACTTTTTAGTAGAGATTTCCCAGTAGATCTCAAGAAGAACATTTTTTGATGTGACAATTAAAGAAAGAGTATAAACCACAAGTGGTACTTTGAAAATCTCAGATATTAATTCTAAAGTAAGTCAAGAATTGAAGACATAATTTGGGGTACCCCTTGTATTGTTTTTGTTTTGTTTTTCAATTCAAGTTCTGCTATAAGCAAACCACTTTTAAATACCTGAGAGGCATTTTCTTGATTTAATCTTTTTAACTACCAATGAAGTCAGGTGGTGCGACCTCCATTTGATAGGTAAAGAAATCAAATATCCAGAGATTTCTAAACTCACTGATACAAACACGAATCAATCTATGTCTGTGATTCCAAAGCTGTGTTTTTTTTTTCTATTTTAACCTCTGAATAAACGTGGGAATGACTTTTCAAAATTGAGTCCACAGGTACTTTTTGGAGCTAGAAGGAACTTTGGAATTACTCAATTCCCTTGTACGGTTAAGATACTGGGTCCCAGAAAATGTATTTGGTTGTGAGACCAGCTTGAGCAGTGAATGCCCAACTCCTAGGTGGGGCTGTGGGGTGTGTGTGTGTGTGTGTGTGTGTGTGTGTGTGTGTAATGGAGTGGTTCTACTCTGTCCTATAGTGTTACAGCAGTGGTTCTCAACCTTCCTAATGCCGCGACCCTTTAATACAGTTCCTCTTGTTGTGGTGACCCCCCAACCATAAAATTACTTTTGTTGCTATTTCATAACTAATTTTGCCACTGTTATGAATTGGGCGACCCCTGTGAAAGGGTTGTTTGACCCCCAAAGGGGTCATGACCCATAGGTTGAGAACCGCTGTCTTACAGCATTATTGTTAGCCAGAATGGACTGAATGGCAGTGTGATTGATTTTTATCCTTAGTGCACTGACGTTGGTTGCAGGGCTAGGCATTGATAAGTGCAGGACATCCTGCAGGCCTGAGTTAGACTCCTGCTCTCGGCTTGTGCTGTGCACTGTACTTTTCCTCCAGGAGCTCTCTTCTTCCTTGCTGGACAATAACTGATAGGGTAACTTCATCGGAACCACAGCTGCTTAACTTACAAACCCACGAGGCCTTGATGCATTTTACTTGAATGAATGAATGAATGAAGAAGGCTTACAGTTCTGTCTGCGTCTCTGTCTACCTGTTTGTATATTTATCTATCTCACATGTGAACTAGTTAATAATACAAGGCATACCAGGGCCACCGAGGGATCTATACAAGGGTAGCATATGCTTAAAAAGCACTTCGGTCACTAAGTGTTCATTTTGAAATTTAGGGGCCTAAGGGCCCATTTAGATTAGGGTTATAGATAAAACATTAAGAAGATGGCATTGAAGCACCTTACTTAGGGTGCAGATATTTAAGAAGTTACACGAGGAGCCGAAGGTGCAATGACATTGACCTAAGTAACATCCACTTTGTGTCATCCACTGTTCCAAGCACTTTACTTGGATTAACCCTTTTAGTCCTTACACTCGCCCTGCCCCCCTCCCCTCCCGCTGAGGCCGCCAGCTGTTTCCTGCTGGCTCCCTGGGAGGCCTTCAATTCAGTCCATTCATAACAGTCATTTTGAACCTAACCTTAGGGAGCCCATCTTGATAAATATCTTGTAGAATGATGACTGCTTTTACTTATCCTCTCCTTTCTCTGGAATGCTAATTCAATATCATCATGCCAATCAGTAGATGCTCTTGATTTAGGGATATTAATTAGATGCAGGTGCTGCTAATGTGTAGCAGCGTTCACATTAATTGACAATCAAGAATTTAGCTATTTGATTACACCGCTGAGATATTGTGACTTATAAAGTTCTCTTCTTTTGCTGTCAAGTACTTATGAACAGGGTGCATCTTAGGAAAATCTTTGAAGTGAAAATTAATCTCTGTGGCCTTGCATTTGAGCACTGTGTTGCTTCCATTGGCTGGTGAAAGTGTTTCCATTTTAACCTGAATGTTTGTAGGATGCAGTGGGGAGAGTTTTAAACAGGCATGCCAGTCCACAGACCCATGGTTTGGGGAGATTGTGCTGACTGTGGTGTGGAAGGTGAGGGATGGGGTCCAGGTGATGAAGGTCTGAACCAGTCAGTGGGCAGTAAGGAAGGAGAAAAGACCGATTTGAGAGGCTCTGCTGAATCTAAACTTTGTATTGATCTGTAGCAGCTTACTCTGGAAATGGGATCTGCCTTTCGCCAACTACTAGATCACCTTGGTTCAATATCTGAGGGCTGAAAAGGCATTTAATTTCTTTCTATATTTTAGTTGCTTATTTTCTTGTCTTTATGTAGGGTAGGCTGGTATCCCAGTGAAAGATATTAATACTACTAAGGGTAGCTGGGAGTCTAAGAGCTGAGCCCTCTTTTGGGGAGCAAAGACATGAGAGCCTTCCCTTGTCTATTGATCCTCACTTTGCTCCCTGGTGGTCATGTGGACTTGTTTCTCTCTAGCAGATTCTAGGGGGAAGGAGGCGCACTAGGACCTTATGGAGACAGGGAAATAGAGAGGACCCAGGGTAAAATTCTCTATATCTGTCACCTGTAGATGTATTCACCAGTCACCATGAGGAATGAATTTGGTATGAAGAATGAGACCTAGCAAGTCATTAAACCCCCCCCAGATCCATCAACCTAGGGGGTTGACAACACCGCATGGTCTGTACCACCGCCTGTCTGTCCGCTTGTCATACTGTGGTGGCTTGTGTGATGCCGGAAGCTATGCTGTCAGTATTTCAAATGTCAGCAGGTTTCAGCCGAGCGTCCACCCAAGAACAGACTATACAGAAGGAGTCGGCTGTCCAGTTCTGAGGAATTAGCCACTGAAAACCTTACGGACAGAATTGAAACAGTGTGAGATACTGAAAATCTCATCAAAAGAAGCAGATCGTTGTCAGAGGTAGTGCCTGAAGCTGAGCTGCTGTGGTCAGACAGCACTCAAACTAGGGCTGAGGAAGAGCTGCCATCTCTCAGGAGAATTGCCTGTAGTAATACGGATGCAGTAAATCCTATGGCAGTAAAGCCTGCAGGACCTTCTTGCCGATGGGGCATGACTCAAAATGAGAAGAAACAGCTGCAAACATCAATTAATAATTTAACTTGGCGGGAATGATGAGGGCAACAAATGTATAGATGTGCTTTACACAATTGATCTATGTATTGTGATGAATTTTATGAGCCCCAATAAATTGATTAAAAA